CTCAATATTTCGGACATCAAGCGCCCCAGTGGACGACCCCACAAGAGATGGGTCGACAACATCAAAGAAGGCCTCAAGCCTCTGAATGTGCCGATTCAGGAATATAATACCTCAACCTCGTCACCAACAAGCAACTCTGGTAAACGATCACTGACAGATGCATTACCATACCTGATTACCCCCTTATGATTTGTTTATGCGGGCAATATGCGACCTCCGGTAGCCACTACACACACCCACAGCCATACAAGGAAGGGTTGCAGGTAGATACTGAAATTCTTCCTGACCGCTGTTTCGCCTTCATAAGGCTCATCAGAGAAGGTGATATTGAATAGGATGATATCAGGTGGAGATGGTCAGATTTATACTACAAAACATGGGCGCAAGATTACGGGCAAAGGCAGAGGAGAGGAAGAGTTCTTTACATTTTATTGGCCGAATAGTACCGTTCACCATTTGAAATATGCGACCTGTTCATAAGCCTCTTAGTCGCAATGGTGAGGCTTCCTGCAGCTTCATTCATAGGGAAATGTTTCTAGCTGGATAATCTCCAGAAGGCGAGAGACGTCAGTGGCAAGGTCACAGGGCTGTGCCTATTATGTCGGAGGCTTTTGATAAAGTGCACCACGACAAGTTGATCCGAGACCTCCTTGCGGTTGGAATTTCTGGAAATGCACTCAGTTCGTTCGTCGACTACTTGTCCTGCCGCAAGCAGCAGATCCTCATCTCGTCTTCAACCAGCCCTGCTCTGGCTTCCACCTGCGGAGTAACCCAAGGCTCTGTTCTCGGCGCTGTCCTCTTCAGCATACATGTATACACACGAGATGTCCCTTTGGTTTCTTCGCATGTGCCAAGTGTACAAGTGTACAAGTTGCAGATGACATAGCCCTGTACATGCACATGTAGCCCTGTATGATTCCCAGGCCTCGGCGAAGCGTCCAGAACCCTCACCACAGCGGCAACTGATCTCAGTGGCCGATTGGCTGAAGTCTCGAGGCCTCATCTCGAACACTGCCAAGAACAAGGTTCTGACTATCCCCCCCCCCCCCCCCAGCAGCATGTACAGGAAGTAACAGTCAAAAGCGGCAACTATCTCCTCCCTTCATCGTCTTCTGCGCGTTACATCGGCGTTCACCTTGACAATCGCCTAGATTGGGACACCCATGCAAACTATGTCAGGCTGCGTTTATACGACAACGGTTGAAAACGATTTGCGTTTGCACTACAACGAAGTACGACCTAAACGGAAAGAAATCATTGCGTTTACTACTATCGTTTACACCACAGCGCCCGAAAACGATACCTAAACGGACCGAAATGGAAACGCACATCAAAGTGTTTTGAAACCATTTCAAATTATTGGAAACGGAGTGCGGTCACGGAAACCATTCCGCGCGGGACTATATTTCACGTGAAATATTCACTCAAACCAAGTGCACAAACACTGAAACAGCGCTGCAGCGTTCATGAGCTAAACGTAGCGCTAAGCTATCCGAGAACGAGCTTGTCAGGACGAAGAATTATGAGAACGAAGAGATTGCTTGAGAGGTGATGGAAGAAGGAAGAAAATGTATAGTGATGAAGACAATAATTATGATTCTAACAAGTTTTCGTACAACACTCTTCAGGAATAATACAAGAAACTAACTCTCCTCCTCCATGGGCTCTAGTTTATTGATACTCTTCAGGAATCGTCGTTGTATTAAAGGACATGTTAGAATCATTATTGTTGTAGAAAAGAAGAAGAAGGACTAAGGAACTACAAGTTACAATCAGCTCATGCGATAACATTGCACGACACTGACCGACGGCGTTGACGTTCTACAACTAACTGGCTAACAGCTCTAGCACAGTTATCTTGGATGAGCACTCCGACAGCCTTCTAAGTTGGAAGGTTCTTATTGACTGAGTACGAGGTCAATAATACAAAGAACCGAAGTAGGAAATAAAAGCCGAGTAAAAGACCGAGGCAAAGCCGAGGTCTTTTACGAGGTTTTATTTCCTATTGACCAAGTACGAAGTCAATACTAGATTTATCACGACAAACAGTCCGTGTTTCTAATTCCAGAACGATAACCTCATGAATCCCGGTTTTATGATTGCACAACCGTTGCACCATCCCCCACGAATGCAGTGACCGTGCTGCACTGCATAGTTTAGGCACCGTTCAACTGCGCAACCCCTAAGCAGTCAAATATAAGTAGTCAATATAGCCTAGTATTAAAGGAGTGAAATACGCAGGAATATTTGACTGCTTTAGGTATAGCGAAAATCAATGGGAGTCAATACTAAAAGAGTGATAAGATATTACAATAAGATGGGAAGGTGACCGAAACCAAGACAAGCACGAACTGAAAGTCTCAGCTGTGACGTTGACGGATGTTCATGCATGTCGATGACGATACTGGCAAGACCATTACTACTAGCATTAGCCAACGTCCTTCACAGTTGAGACTTTCAGCTCGTGCTTGTCTTGGTTTCGCTCAACTTCCCCTCTTATGTTGTCATATAACTACTTAGAACCTTCCAAGTAAAATAGTTAGAAGGCTGTCGGAGTGCGCATCCAAGATGTGCTAGAGCTGCTAGCCAGTCAGTTGTAGAACGTCAGTACCGTCGGTCAGTGCCGTGCAATGTTATCGCATGAGCTGATTGTTTAGTAACTGGTGGTGTTAGTGGACATTATAGCGTAACTTGTACTTGTACTTCAAGTAATTCCTTGGTCCCTCTTCTTTTCTATAAATTTATCCTTGGCTCTCCATCAGAGTCCATAACTATTGTCTTCATCACTATACAATTTCTCCCATATTCCATCATTTTACTGCACATTGTTATCCATTGTTTGACACTTTACAGGGTACCTCACTTCAAACTCTCCAACTACGGTCTCTTCGCTGCATAATAAAAAAGTTCACTTCACTTCCAAAAAAAAAAAAATAACAATATTAGTAGAAAGGAAAAGGACATAATGGAAACGAGTTAAGAGTAACTCTCCACCACTGTAACTAGATACTATATACAGTCAGAAAGTGCAACAACTAGGCACAAAACTGACAGAGTACTGAGACATTCGACGTCCTGACACCTAGCATATAGTATCTAGTTACAGTGGTGGAGAGTTACTCTTAACTCGTTTCCATCCGTCCTTTTCCTTTCTACTTTTATTATTGGCTCAATACCCGAGTTTCAAATAATATTAGATACAAAATTAATGGAATGCACCATGGTCAAGAGTACATAACCCCCCTGTGCTCTTGACCATGGTGCATTCCATTTGTATCTAATATTATTTATTTTTTTGGAAGTGAAGTGAACTTATGCAGCGAAGAGACCGTAGTTGGAGAGTTTGAAGTGAGGTACCCTGTAATGTGTGAGTGGTTGCAATGGAGTCTGCGAGTGCCCAGTTAGAATTGTTTGACACTGCACGAATAAGCACGGTATACACATGTCGATTCAGCTGAATCAGCTCATCTCCTTGATTGCGGTTTTTAAAAAATAACTCTTGTTTGATGATTGCCTCACAGGTGTAGATGTTCAAAAACGAAACCAGTGAATACGCTTGAAGCCCAAGGTAAGAAATGTGCATCAATACCAGTACCATCATGCGGCTTGCAGCTGGATCGAATGTCATACCCATGTCAGGAGACATCAATACACCCCAGCACGTGTTCCAGCCTGCTAGTGCTGATAGCTGATGCCATCTGCAGTGGCGTCGGAAATCAGCCAGGCCGCAGTCCAAGCTGATCAGGCTCCAATTGGTGTAGGGTTTCCAATGTTAAGTTGCGCTGACAGGATTTCCACTGACAAGATGACTGATGTCCACTGACAAGATGACTGATGTCCACTGTACATAATCTACGGGTACATATAATTGTTACCGTATATGTAAACAAAATGTTGCGACTCTGGCGGTAATTGGTAAAGCCACTGAAATGTCTGCTCCGAACGCCGGAGCTCGCGGGTCCTGCTGGATGCCCCCCCCCCCAACACTGTGTATTGAGCATGGAGTGGTGCTTTCTTGCAGGTTTGCCGAGTTGAAGGTTCGACGGGCTTCTCGCGTGCTCCAGTCCAGGCGCAGTGTGAGTCAGTCAATAAGTGTCTAGTCGTTCGGCAGGACGCGCGAGCACCGACGTTCGGAGCAGACACTTTCTCTAAACAAAATGTACAGTCTACTTCGAAGTACATTATACTATACAGCAGACCAACCGTTACTGGACTCTCTCAGATTGGCAGCAGTACAATCATGTACCGAGATAGAGTATAGCGTAGAGTATAGCATGCTTACAATCATGTGTCATGTACTACTACTAGTACTAGTACATGTAAAATAATTCATAGTGTACAGTTACGAAGGGCTAAATCATAAAAAAATGTGGCCATACCCGTTCCAGGATTGTGATCCAGAAACTTTGAGAAAGCAACACAATCGTCATGTACATGTACATGTAGATCTACAATCAAGTCATGTACAATCATGTACATGACTTGATTGTATGTACAGTGAAGTTAGTTTGGCTAAGATGACTGCTCAAGGGCTAGGGACCTTCAAGACGTGGTGTCCGTTACCAGGTGGTCACCCTATCCAGGGTCATTTGGCTGGAAATAGCATCCCTTGCCACGGTCCTACATGTAGTTGCAGTGGTCTTCTCGGACAGGTGGTCGCCTTGTCAGGTTTCACTGTACTCCGCGACACAATGATTGGCGCACTGTGGACGACAAAAGACATAATGATTGCGGCAGGTTGCAAGCAAGACG